GGGCTTTTACTGATTTAGATAATGCCTTTCCCTTGTATATTCATTAGACATCTACTGAAACTCTGTTATGGCCAACTAGAAGCAAGTGTTATTTTTGACTGTTTATTCTTTCAAAAGAGTTGCAATTCTGTTCAGCCAGACTTGTGATCCAGGTACCATTGTCAGATTAGAAAAATCACATGGATGATCTATTTATTTTGCAATTAATGTGCTTGAAAATCCTTACATATATCTAGTGAATGGACTAGCATGGGGATTCACAGATGAAATAAATCCTCCTACATAAGTTGTACCTGTTTATCTGAAATCATCTCTCTTTACAACCTTCCAAAATACACATTTTACACAGCCTCTCTCAGCTCTGAAAAGCAGTGGGAGCGATCTTAAGTCTTACACTACATAGCTCAGTGAGGAGAGCCCTGAGCCCTGATTGGAGGGAAGGGACACATCCACCCATCATAGTACACAAGAAAATGCGCAGCTGAGGCTATCAATCACAGGTTGTGTGCTGAAGCTTTTCTCCCCCATCACCAATGATTTTTTGGTGTCAGAAAAAAGCTGTCAGAAAAAAGAAGAACGAGGCAGCAGAGAGAAATCACACTTAGTGCTTTAGTAGATACAAGTACGCAATATAAAAGAATGGGCTTAGTTTATGTTTCATGTCGGAGGTTTACATCCACTTTAAATAATGCAGTATCATAAAAGACTTTCCCCAAGTCTCTGGACTAGATATTAAAGGAGCATCACAACACTGATGAGTTCATCTTTCTACTCTCTCCTGTTGGCAAGCTCCCAGTATTAGACTGAAAGTACAATGTAGTAGATTATGGCTAGTTTACAGTTTTGCCCCTACTTCAGCAATTGTCCTGCTTTGAAAAGTAATAGAGGAAGCAAATATAAAGCCAAATTTGGGAACTCATACTAGCCGTATAAAAATAAAACAAATAAATCTACATACCCACAATAAAAAGTAGACTTTTATAGTTGATTTTCAGTGTATTTGACAAGCAAAATTCAGTCTGAAACTAGATTTGGTCAGTCCTGCTTCTAGTGCAGGTTGTGGGCAGCAATACTCTGCACCATTTTATTTTTACAGGCTTGTGTCTCTGTGCGATTTCACTTCATTCACTAAGCTCTGGGGAAAAAGTCCTATTTGCTTTGCCTTTAGTAAGGCCGTGGTATAATTATATCCATATTTGATCAAGGACAGCACCGGGAGACCTAGTCCTTTACAGCTAGGATCAAGGGATGCCATTTGTGGCAAGTGAGCAATAGAGTGGATCATGCCTTTTGGTTGGCAGGTTTTTTTCTATTGGTGGTTAGGCAGGCATCAGTCATCGTGACTGACGTAGATCTTCATTACTGGGTGACACGTTTGTTTTAGCTTTTTTACATTTTTTTTTACAGGACTGGTCAAAAAGTGTCCGTTTGTTATTTTTTGGATTATTATTATTATTATACAGTATTTATATACTGCAAACAGTTTGGCCAGCGCTTTACAACATGAGGGCAGACAGTACGTTCCAGTCAGGGCAAGCTCATCCAAGATTCCCAGTACACAGTAAATGGGTTCAAGTGGAATCATGGTTTGAAAAACCCTATTAATGGTGTCCACTATTGCCTCTCAGAACTGATGAAGCCTGGGGCAGTGCCACATCAAGTGTATGAGATCACCCTCTGATGCCCCACACTTAGCACACAAAGTGGATTGCAAATCGCCAATCTGGCAGAGCTTAAGAGGGGTATGATGGGCCCGCAGCACAATGCATAATTGTAAAAGTCTTTGGGTTATGTTTTGAGAGCAAGATGGTATGTCTTTCAAGGCATTGTTCCACTGATCCTCCTCCAGACTACCAACATCAGCCTCCCATTTAATCTTGGCCTTACATGGGTATCCTTCTATGTAGGGTAAAAGTAACATCCTGTAGCAGTGGGAAATTAATCCTTTCATCTACTGCACATATTGTAAGTAATTAAAAATTGGAGCTGGGGAAAGTGTCCAGTTAGTCAACAGACCCTGAGCGCAAATAGCATGTCTGAGTTGAAGGTAGTAGAAATGCATGGAATGAGGGAGATGGTAGGTGAAACTAAGGAACCACTGCGGAATATCTGTTATAATGATGCCACCTCTTCTCCATGCCCCTACACTGGTTGACTTTGCCAATTCGGGATAGTTACGGTTATGCCATATAAGACTATAGCTAGTGAACCCATTAGCACCCTGAAGAGTTTTCACCTTTGACCAAATCTTTTGGGTCAAACAATATGTGGGGCTGATTTCATTGGAGGAGCTAAAACCAAGGGAGTTCAAACTAGCAGGGATATCCCGAGACCTGACATGGTGACATATAATAGAGAAGTCAGACTGTGGAGGGGCCTGTTGGCTTCATTCTGTCATTGGAAAAGCCCCAATTAAGTGTTACAGCTGCGCTGCTAGATGGTAGAGCCAAGGATTAGGGGGGGCTAACCCCCCCCCCCCAGTCCTTGGGATGCTGCAGCTGTTCAAGTTTAAGGCCCAGAATTTTGTCTTTCAACAGAGAGCAAAATAAAGAATTAACCAACCGGAAGATATGCAGAGGGATGACTACAGGGGTATTATGCAAGAAGTATAGCAGCTGGGGCATGGGAATCATCTTGATCAGGTTGGCATTTCATATCAGGGAGATACATAGTTTGATCCAAATTTTTACCTTGGCCTTAAACCGAAGAAGTGGCATGACATTAGGATTGCAGTAATCCACAATGGAGGAGGAAACTATTACTTCTAGATATTTGAATGATTTTGTCACCGGGACCAATTTATCGTTAACCCCGAGTGTTCCCCAAAGGAATTGATGGTAGTCATAACCTCCTAAAGGGAGGGTCCAAAGTCTCCTAAAAAGAGAAGCATATCATCAGCATACAAGGTTTTTTTCTCATGCAACTCCCCACAGCGGAAGCGGACAATGTTGTCATTAGCTCAGATCATAGCCACAAGTGGCTCCATAGCAAGAGCAAACAAAAGAGGGGAGAAGGAGCAGCCCTGCCTCATTCCCCTGCCCAGCCAAAAAACAGGGAAGTTCCGGCAGCACTCCCAGATTGAAGCAACAGGTGCATAGTACAACAGTTTGACCCAGGGAATGAAATTATCTCCAAGGCAAAAGTGCTCAAGAGTCTGCCAGTGATAGGACCACTCCACAGGGTCAAAGGCCTTATTGGCATCCAGAGGCAGGAGTCCCCCCGATTGTCCACTGCGGTCTGAATATTCAAGAAAACTCTCCGGATATTGATAGCCATGGATTTTTGAGGCACGAAACAGTTCAGTTGTTAGGTGGAGACAGGATAGGCTTCTTTGAAGAAATTGGTTTTCAGGGATCAACTAAAAGTGAACTGAGTAGAAGATATTCCGACAGATTAAGGTAGGGAGTTACATAGGATAGGAGAGGCTCTGGAGAAATCCTGGAGATGAGCAAAAGAGCAGGTGACAAGGGGGTAGAGAACAGGAGGCCTTGGTAGGAATGAAGAGAATGATTTGATTGGTATTTTGAGACAAGGTTAATAATATAGTTGGGGGCAGAGTTGTGGCTAGCTTTTTAAATTGTTTGTATTTTGAATTTTGTTAATTGGATGAGCGGAGTCAATGTGGCAGACACTAGATGGTGGATAACACTGACAGCAGGATAACTAATGAACTGAAGGGGTAATAGCCTATGCAAATATAAGCCAATAAGGAGGGAGTTGCAGTAGTTGAGATGTGAGATAACCAGAGAGTGAAGTAGAAGCTTTGTGGTGTCATTGGTTAAAAAGGGGTATATTTTGGCGATGCTGAGGTGGAAAGACTTTGAGAGTGATTGGATTTGGGTCTGATAATAGAGTTTAGAGTCCAGGATTACACCTAGCACCCTGGCATGTGGGGATGGACTGACAGATGTGCCATCAATCCTGACAGAGAAGCCAAAGGAAGGAGCATGTGGCAGGGGAAATATTAATAGCTTAGTTTTGATAGAGAAAAGAAAGGTTAAAGTGGTGAAGGTTTACATTTTTTGTGAAAGACTAGAGGTACTATGTATTCTTTACTCATTCAAAAGGGGGATGCGGTGTATATGAAGGCCTCCTTGTTAATGAGAAGCTTCCAAATTCCAACCCATTAGACCAGGGTTGTGAAAAAGAGACCCCCCCTGTCCTCATCAACATGGGAACAAGATGTTCTGTCAGGGAGGGTCCTCCTCTGGACAACCACACTGTTGAGTGAAATAGAGGAAAGATTAGCTGAATTGAATTTATACTGTCTTGGTTAAAATGGATTAATTATTACAGTGTATTATCAATGTATATAAATACATAGGTGGTCCATATAGTGCATAGTTATTCACTTTTGGGTCATTATAGAGGACAAGGGGACACTCTATGTTTGGAGGAAAAGAGATTTAACCTCTTAATATAGAAAGGCTTCTTCAAAATAATAGCTGTTAATAAATGTGGAATAGATTCCCTGAAGAACTAGTTTTGCCCAGCACAGTAGATTGTTAGAAAAAAAAAAACACAGATGCATTCCTAAATGCAAAAAATATAACTCGTTGTTGAAATTTAAGGAAATACTACTAGGAATTGTTGATCCAGGGATTATCATATTGCCTCCTAGGCTATCAGGAAGCACCTTTTTCCTCTGCTGCAACAAACTGGATTTCTTGGGTATAGAATTGTGTATACGGATATTTTCGAATTGTTAATTTTTTTCAGTGGTTAAATGTTATATTGTTTGAACTAGTCCTTTTTCCAAACAAACAATGTAAGTTATCCCTCCATGTTGAGGGCATGTGGCCTAATATGGCTGTCAGGGATCCTCTCGGTCTCCGCCGCGTTGGTCCCGGCGCAGGCGCAGTGTGCCGCCTTGTGCTGGGACTCGAGCATTAGGTCCGGGCCGGCCGCGGCGTTCGAGTTCGCGCATGCGCAGTAGAAGCCGCGGCCGCCCGGGGCACCAATGGCAGCGCAGGGCGGGATATTTAAATGGCCCTGAGCTGTCATTCAGTGCCTTCTGGTCTTACCTGTATCCTGTATCTGCGAACCTGTGAATAGTAAGTTGCTGACCCGGATTGTGCTTGACCTTGCTGTATTTCTCCTGCCCTGACCCTTGCTTTGCCTGACCTCTCTCTTGTATGCCCCCTATTGGATCTGACCTGCTGTTGCTGACCTGGCGTGTGACCCGACTATTCTCTGCCCGCTGCCTTGTACCATACCGTCCTCCCTGTTACCGACCCGGCTTGTCTGACCCTGCACCTGCTCAGCCATCCATCCATCCATCCGTCCATCCCTCCCAGTGGGGTCTCCTGACCTCCTCATATCAGGCTCTTCCCCGCAGGAGCCCTCGGCGAATACCACTACCACTAACGGGTTTGCCCAGTAGCCACGACCTGGTTTCGGGGGGCTCCAAGTCCATCCCCACCATCAGGGGCCCTGGTGAACAAGCCCCCTGGGACTTAGACTCCGTGCTCTGGAAACACCTATTTAGTGGAGTGCTAGTGGTACCGCCGGGCGGTCCCTTACAGTACCAGAAGGCCATGACGGAGCCTCGAGGAGGACCCTCCCCGCTGGAGGAAGTTTGTAGGCACCTGGCTTCCTTGACGCAAGCGGTAAACGTTTTACAGGACAGGTGTTTGCAGATTGAAAATCGGTTCCAGGCCTGCACGATATCTGCCCCTGCACCACAGGCTCCGACCCCTGCACCTCCGCCCGTAGCGGCCCCTGGGCCTGCTTCAGGGGTTCCCGCATCACTTCCTATGACCAAACCCCGGGTACCCCTACCGGAGCGTTTTCACGGGGATCGCACACGCTTCAGGTCGTTCCGTGAATCCTGCCTTCTCTATTTTGAGTTGCAACCTCGTACTTTTTTGACGGAATCGGTAAAGGTGGGGTTTGTCATCTCCCTCCTGCAGGGTGAACCCCAAGACTGGGCCCACCGACTGAGAGGGACAATGACCCCCACCTAGGCTCAGTTAACATTTTTTTTGACGCAATGGCCATCTTATATGATGATCCACAGCGGGCAGCTTCGGCCGAAGCTACCATTTACACACTCCGGCAGGGCCGACGGGCGGCGGCGAGGAGTACGCCTCTGACTTTAGGCGTTGGATGGGGGACACACGCTGGAACGAGTTTGCCCTTGTGCACCAGTTCCGCATGGGCCTGTCAGAGGCCCTGAAAGACGAGCTCGCCCGGGTAGAAATGCCTGAGGCGCTTGAAGACTTAATTGCACTAACCATCAAGATTGACCGAAGACTGCGGGAACGCAGGTTTGAGAGGTCCGGTCAGGGTCGAGGAGGTTCCTGGGGGTCTTTCCAGGGTCACAGCCAATCCACTAGGCCACAGTTCCTGAACCCACCACCGGAGGATGCTCCTGAACCCATGCAGCTAGGCCTGGCACGACCTAAGCTATCTCCAGAGGAACGCCAGCACAGACGCTCCCAGAACCTATGCCTCTACTGTGGTGAAGCTGGTCACATGGTACGATCCTGCCCGCAGAAACTGAGTAAGTGCACCTCTTCTTCCTTATCTGTTGGCGATGTTCATTCTTCCCAATACTTAGTTGTACCCCTCTCCTTTCAGCTGCCAGAAAGGACCGTGGAAGTGACAGCCATTATTGACTCGGGGGCATGCAGCTGTTTTGTAGATATTAATTTTGCTCACCAGCAGGGTATTCCCCTCCAACCAAAAGAAAAGGGGTTCAACATATTTCTGGCCGATGGGTCCCGGATAAGATCAGGGGTGGTTAACCAGGAGACCCCTTCCATTTCTACCTCCATTGCCAGCCAACACCAGGAACTCCTCCGCTTGGATGCCATTGCATCACCCCTTTTTCCAGTCATTCTGGGGCTTCCGTGGTTACGGGCTCATAACCCCCAGATTGACTGGGAAACCAGGGTAGTCTCGTTCCCTTCCTCATACTGTCGGGAACACTGCCGCACTTCGGGCCCGGGGGGGTTCCCCAGGTCCTTGTGTGCTCAGAGGGGGATGCCGACTTAAGGCAGGTCATTCCGGCAGCCTACCATGAATTCCTTGATGTATTCAGTAAACGGGGAGCAGATACTCTACCCCCCCACCGCCCGTATGACTGTCCCATCGACCTGTTACCTGGCTCAGAGATCCCTTTCGGGCGGATCTTCCCCCTTTCGGAGCTCGAATTGGGGGCCCTTAGGGAATACATTGAGGACAGCCTGCAGAAGGGATTCATCCGCCCCTCTACCTCTCCAGCAGGGGCAGGGATTTTCTTTGTAGAAAAAAAGGACAAGACCTTGAGACCGTGTATTGATTACCGGGAATTGAATAGAGTTACAATCAAAAACCGTTACCCCCTGCCGTTGGTACCAGAATTATTCCAGAGTTTAAAGGCGGCAGTGGTGTTCACAAAACTGGACTTAAGGGGAGCGTACAACCTGGTTCGCATAAGGGAGGGGGACGAGTGGAAAATGGCACTCCGCACCCGCTTCGGCCACTTCGAGTATCTGGTCATGCCGTTCGGTCTGTGCAATGCACCCGCCACCTTCCAACACTTTGTGAACGACATTTTTAGGGATTTCCTGGATGTCTTTGTTATAGTCTACTTAGACGATATTTTTATTTTTTCACCTTCTCTGGGGGAGCACAGGGTTCACGTAGCAAAGGTATTAGGGCGGTTGCGGCAGCATGGCTTATACGCCAAAGCTGACAAATGTTGCTTTGAACAGTCTAGTATTACTTTTCTGGGTCTGATTATCTCCACCGCGGGGGTCGCGATGGACCCTCAGAAAGTCTCTGCAATATTGGATTGGCCTGAACCCACAGACAGGAAGGGCGTCCAACGGTTTGTCGGGTTCGCAAACTTTTACCGCAAGTTCATCAAGAACTTCTCGGGTCTGGTCTCCCCCATTACTCAGCTAACCAAGCTTGGAACTCGATTCAGGTGGACGCCAGAGGCGCAGGAAGCTTTTGAAGCTTTGAAGAAGCTATTCACTTCGGCACCCATCCTGGGTCACCCCGATGCCGCCTTACCCTACATCTTGGAGGTAGATGCGTCAGAGAATGCGGTAGGTTCCATCCTGTCCCAGCGGAAGGGCACCAGGGAATTGCTCCACCCTGTGGCATTCTTCTCACGGAAACTCACCCCGGCGGAAAGGAACTACGATATCGGCGATCGTGAACTTCTGGCGATTAAGACAGCGTTAGAGGAATGGAGGTACCTGCTGGAAGGTGCCTCACACCCCATCTTAATATTTACGGATCATAAGAATCTGGAGTACCTGAGGACCGCCAAACGCTTACGCCCACGACAGGCAAGATGGGCACTGTTCTTCTCAAGATTCAATTTCCACATTACATACAGGCCGGGATCAAAGAATACGAAGCCAGATGCGTTGTCACGAATGTACGAGGACGCCAAGGAGGCCCCAGCGCCCGACACTATCCTGTCTTCAGGGAACTTCTTGGCGCTCCAGACGGACCTTCGTTCCAAGATAATGGAGGCGTCCACGGCCTTATCCATCCCAGCCGGGGTGCCCCTCCAGAACAAGGGGGGACTCCTGTGGAAGGAAGATCGGATTGTGGTGCCAGAGGGAATCCGAACTCTGGTCTTGGGCCATTGCCATGACCACCCGATGGCAGGGCACTTTGGGTCGGCCAAGACCTTAGAGCTCCTCCGACACTCCTTCTGGTGGCCGGACATGGCAAAAGACTGCAAACACTACGTCAACTCCTGCATCACCTGCCAGAGGAACAAACCATCAAGGTGCAAGGCTTGGGGTCTTCTGCGGCCTTTACCAATTCCCGAACGGCCTTGGCAGAAAATTTCGATGGATTTCATAGTCGAGCTCCCACCTTCACGGGACCACACAGCAATTCTTGTGGCCATGGACCGTTTATCTAAGATGGCCCACTTTATACCATTAAGGAAGACTCCGTCTTCAGCCGAAACTGCGCGAGTATTCATTCGGGAGATTGTAAGACTACACGGGGTCCCTGAAGACATCGTCTCTGACCGAGGGGTTCAGTTTACCTCAAGATTTTGGAGGGCTCTGTGTAAAGCTCTGAACATCCAACTGTCCCTCTCTTCTGCATTTCACCCTCAGTCCAACGGACAGACCGAGAGAACCAACCAGACTCTGGAGCAGTACCTGCGCTGCTATACATCTTTTGCCCAGGATGACTGGATACCACTTCTACCCTTGGCGGAATTCGCGTACAACAACGCGTGCCATTCGGCAACGGGGCAGTCCCCGTTCTTCTCCAATTGTGGGTTTCACCCTACCTTCCTCCCGGACTTGGTCCCTGAATGCCCAATTCCGGCAACGCAGGATACATTGACATTCTTCTCCTCGAACAACAAGAAGCTACAGGAAGCCCTAATTCGGGCCCAAGATGACTACAAGAGGGCATTCAACAAGAGACGAAGGGGAGATCTGGTGTTGCGACCCGGTGAGAAGGTTTGGTTGTCTACTTCTAACTTAAGGATGCTTTGCCCCTCAAAGAAATTAGGCCCTAAATTTATAGGACCCTTTTGCGTTAAGCGGATGGTCAACGAGGTGGCCTACGAACTTGTCCTCCCTGACACACTCAAGATCCACCCAGTCTTCCATGTGTCCCTGCTGAAGCCAGTAGTCCCGGATACCTTCCCTGAACGTGAATCTGGGCCTCCGCAGGCCATATCGGTAGAAGGGGAAGAGGAATTTGAGGTGGAATCAATCTTGAAGTGCCGAAGGAGGGGGGGGCAGACCCAATTCCTAATCAAATGGAAGGGCTATGGCCCTGAGGATAATTCTTGGGAACCTGCCCATAATGTCCATGCACCTAGACTTGTCCGGAGGTTCTTTCGCGATCACCCGTGGTGGAGAGATCGGGTGGGCATCCGGAGGTTGCCCGTAGGGGGGGGCAATGTCAGGGATCCTCTCGGTCTCCGCCGCGTTGGTCCCGGCGCAGGCACAGTGTGCCGCCTTGTGCTGGGACTCGAGCATTAGGTCCGGGCCGGCCGCGGCGTTCGAGTTCGCGCATGCGCAGTAGAAGCCGCGGCCGCCCGCTGGGCACCAATGGCAGCGCAGGGCGGGATATTTAAATGGCCCTGAGCTGTCATTCAGTGCCTTCTGGTCTTACCTGTATCCTGTATCTGCGAACCTGTGAATAGTAAGTTGCTGACCCGGATTGTGCTTGACCTTGCTGTATTTCTCCTGCCCTGACCCTTGCTTTGCCTGACCTCTCTCTTGTATGCCCCCTATTGGATCTGACCTGCTGTTGCTGACCTGGCGTGTGACCCGACTATTCTCTGCCCGCTGCCTTGTACCATACCGTCCTCCCTGTTACCGACCCGGCTTGTCTGACCCTGCACCTGCTCAGCCATCCATCCATCCATCCGTCCATCCCTCCCAGTGGGGTCTCCTGACCTCCTCATATCAGGCTCTTCCCCGCAGGAGCCCTCGGCGAATACCACTACCACTAACGGGTTTGCCCAGTAGCCACGACCTGGTCTCGGGGGGCTCCAAGTCCATCCCCACCATCAGGGGCCCTGGTGAACAAGCCCCTGGGACTTAGACTCCGTGCTCTGGAAACACCTATTTAGTGGAGTGCTAGTGGTACCGCCAGGCGGTCCCTTACAATGGCTATGGGGGGGGAGGTATTCTCACACCGCCCTCTGCCTTGGACTGCCAGGATACCTGCTCTTACAAGGGACTGATATGAACTGCTTGACCTATGCTTTTTTCCCTTGTTTTTTGTGGGGATTTCCCCCTTAAAATTCACACGAGGATAACTGCCATATCTCCCACCATCTTCAAAAATACCACCCGCTTGGGACAGCTACTCTTGCTTGCTCCTCCTGCACTGTAAAAATCATGCTTTTGTTTACTGTGGGTCGTACACTTTTTGCTGTACTTCCAGCCTGCTGGGGCCATGAGAGCTGTGGCTCATGCTAGTGTTATTATCAGTTCATCATCTCCTCTTTTTCATACACAGAAAGTCTATTTTGGTGACACAGAATAGCTAATGGTTTAGTTTTCTTTTTTTTGCCGTTGGTCCCATCGGGAAAACTTGCCCTTCATTTACTGTTACATATATACAGCAGAAAGTGAGGGGAAATCTCTTCAAAATAAGGGGAAATATCTGACAGCTTTCATCAGTTTTGGGGTACTGGAGTGCTGGATTTAGAGCTTGGTGGAAAGTTTGATAAAGTAAGGTAGCTCTCTATTGCCAAGCAGATCCCCAGTGGGGTTCTTAGGAGTGCCAGCTTGTATGGCAAAAAAAGCATGAAAGCACCAAGCCATCTATCAGTCTTGATATTAATTTTTATATGTCACAATAAAAGGGTCTATCAAGAGTTGACAGCTAATGTGTTTCACAGGTGACACACAAATCCTTCTTCATCATGTCTTAAATTTATTCTGCAAGAGCAATCTGGACAGTTGGTTAATCTTGGATTTTTCTTTATAGATTCTAGTTTGAAGCATGCACATTAAAATTTTCTACCAGCCTTTTTTTTCTTACTACAACAGAGGTCCCCATTAGAAATCTCTCCAATGTGAAGGAAAATCTTTTCTGACACAGTTATTATGACAACAGTGATACCCATTAGGAGATTTCCCCTTTTGTTTTGTTGTGGTGACCACCATGACATTTTAGATTTCCCATCCCTTTTTGTTCCAGTGACAATGACCACAGTGCAAAAAGAAGGGGTTAATCTCTCTAACAAGCACACAAATGGCAATGAAAACCTGACAGAGGTTCTGCACGTTCCCCGATATATAAAACTAATATTTAGAAAAATTGGCTAGAGATACATCCTGAGAACCAGAATGGAAATATATATTCCTAGGTAATCCTTAAATCCAAATTAGATGTTGGCTTTCTCAGAAGAATTTAATAATATACACAACAATTATATATACACAGCAGTAAGCCAAAAACAACAGTAAGGAGAATGTGGAGGAGTTGGAGTGGAGATAACTAGGCAAAGCCCAAGCAATCTGAGCAGGGTACATGTGGTAAGTTCTATTACAGATGGGCGCTCAGGCTCTGCATACGCTGCAATAATATGGTACACAAATGTCCAAAGTTTGGGAAACATTGATATATTCAATCAAGTGCAAGTGCAGCTTGTGTTAAAATGCTAATTGATAACTAATGACATTATAAAAACATTGGCTACAGTGACTGAGAACCTAATCATTCTACTATGGTGCTGTATGGTGAACCATCTGCCTTTAACACAGGGCTGAATTCATCTCCAAATGTGACAAATGTTTTCCTTGTAATGTCTGATTAGTTAAAAGACATGTGGGAACAGCAAAGATTTGCCTCAACAAATCCTTTTCAGATATTAAAATATATCTATATAAAAAAAAATAAAGTCAAGATTTTTTGTTGTTTTTTTTTTTTAACTGTGATACAGATTCTACAGAGGTAACCTAAGCAGAAGTACTTGAAGGAACAGCAAATTAATATTGAAGTATCAGTTGTTTACCAGAGCCAAAGATTTGCATGTCAGCTATGTTTAAACAAAGAAAGCTTTATATGACAATGGTAATTTACCCAACCGCATGCTAAACAAAGCATCATACCAATTAAATGAAACTTCCTCTTTCTGGACATGTCCCATAAATAGAAATCTCAAAGTTCTGTCTTGGATGACAAAATTGAAAGACTACTCATTTGGTTAAAGGTTAATTCCTTAAAGGTACTTTAACTGTGGTGTGCTTGTCAACACATCATTTCCCAGAATCCCTGGCTGTAGTGTGACAGCAGCATGCTGTGTCAGTTTTGCAAAAAAAAACTTCTTTTACCAACCAACTTATGACATGTGATATCTGTTCATAAACATCTTTGTTGACGTGTCATTTCTTGAGACAGTTTGAAGGCCTTCCGCAGTAACAGTTATGTGTAACCTTCATGTTGGTTCAATAAAGCAAGCAACACAGAACACAATAAAACAAATTCATGGTGTTGAGTGCTTGACACAATAACAGGCTTTCATTAAATGGATCCATCAGGAAGTTTCAGACTAATTAATTTTGTGTTTATTCAGCTTTGGAAACCTTCCTCGTACGGTTTCATTTACCATGGAGCTGCTTTGCACAAGTGAATTACTTGTATGGTGACTCAAAGGCATTTAACAATGTCTTTGATATTTTAAGTACTAACTTAGAGGGATGTTTAATTTCTTCCTCATAATGAAAGAAACAGAAAAAAGTGCTGAAACATTTGCCTTTTTTCCCTCCGTGAAATCAATGAACAATGAGGAGAAAAATACAGTACATTTACTCTGCTTAATGGGACAAACACGCTTAACGTGCAAAGACATGTACAGTTTGATGCCATGCAATCATAGTACAGTATCATTCTACACTTTTACTCCTTTTAAAAGGAACCAGAAGGAGAGTGAAAAGAAAAATCTATCACAGTGGACTACTGTTGACCCAGATAATGGATGCTAGATACCATGCATTAACTCTGTAGCATCTTGGTGTAAAAAGGATCTATCATGATTGGATGTTTTTCAGTTGCTACTTGATGAGTCTCCAGATATTCCAGCTGCAGTATATACCTGATATGGACATGCTTTTTTGGGTCTTTAAAGTTAACCTAAACCCAAAGAGTGAAGATTTACTATCTTATAGGGTATATCTTGATATGCTAATTGTGCCTAAGCAATATCCAGAAATATTTAGCTTTTGTCTTGAGGCAGGAGGCTTACTCCTGAAAAATAGTGAATTTCTTGCCCTGCATCTAAAACATGAGATCTACGAAATTGTGTCTCTGATAGTTTCACCAGATTTAGGAATATCATTACTTTGCTGTCCACTGATCATCTGGGGGCATGCTGGAAAAACAAACTGTATCTAAGGAATTGCAATTCAAGTATCTTCCTGCATATGCTTCTTTTATTCTTTGGAACTGTGCTTCATTTGCCACCTTTGCTGCTTCTTGAAAATTTTCCCACAAGTTATCAGATAGCTCTACAAAGATAGCTGAACCACAAAGGGGTTTAGGGGTGTGATACCCCTAAAAGGTTAATCACATTCAATGGGATTTAGACACTGCAATTTACCTTATTAGAATGCTGCAAGTGCATCAGCACAAAACAAGGAATTGGTAGGTAGTCCTTTAGACCTTTGCTCGCCTTTTTTTGAGCACAGCTTCCATAGTTCTGTCCTCTTTAACCAAGTTTTTTGCCTGGAATGGGCTGTAAAGGCATTAGGACACAACCTAAACACAGTGATGAGTCAATCTCTAGATCAAAAACACTTTCAACAGCTGTGAATCTTACCAGGAATGGCCTGTGCTTTTCAGGCAGCCAGTGTAAAATCACTCAAAAAGTCACAGATTACAAAAAATAAAGAAATAAACCCCCCAAAATGACTTTTTTTTTACATCAGAAATGGTGCGTTTCTCAAGACTCCAAAATAGGAAAAGCAACAAGCAAAATTGGGGATTACGAAACAGAACCAAGGCAGAAGCCAGTGCTAATCAAGAACATAAATGCTCCCATTTGAAAGGGATAAGTACTTTTGCACACTGGTGTTAAATGATCTTGTTACTTTAATAAATTACGTTAAAAAAAGGGTAAGCTGTTCAGTCAGATACTGTCAGTACATCACAATTATTTGCAGGCTAGATTTGAAAACATCTGGTGTAAAAAAAATTCAATTTCAAAGGGTGAATTCACTTTCTTGGGAAAAAATAGCAAAATAAAAAAAATACTACAGCATATACACTTGCTACACAAGCCATATTGTAAATGAATGTTATTAAAAATGACCTTTTCTTTTTAATCTGCAATGCTGTAATGTTCTCCAAAATGCAGTGCAGTATATGGCAACTTGGAAGCATTATGTGCATCTCTGGTGTACAGAATACCCCCCAGATACCTTCTGGAAAGGTCACTTCCTGTTCACGTAATTGGCTCACTGATTTCTCAGATGTCTGCACTAAGATACAAGTAAGATTTTAGGCATCCTCTGCAGCAAACATTTCATTTTAGGTGTGATACCCCTAAAAGGTTAATCACATTCAACGGGATTTAGACACTGCAATTTACCTTATTAGAATGCTGCAAGTGCATCAGCTGAATGATAATGAATAGGTCACTCTCATTCACATTCACTGTGCTTATTGACACATTTTCTTTTAGAGCAACAAAAGATAGGAATCTGCAGCAACGTTTGGGTTGTCAATGTACATTGCAAGGATTTTTAACGGAGGGGAATGTTTTTTTTTCATCAAAAGTAGAGCTACTCTTTAAAGCTCAGAAAAAAACATTTGTGGTGGAGCACCAGGTAAATTATCACACTACAGGAGGCACTATCCCAGTATAATCAGCAAAAAGGCCAAAATAGTTACAATAGGATTTTACTTGTACCTCTGATAGTGAATATATGCATAACACAATTATATGATAAAACTTCAACAATGTTTTATTACAGATTAATATAAAAATTGCCAAAAAGGCATCTCAAGACACCTTTAAAAACAACATAATACAGGAGGCCAAGTTGTGAATACAATGAGGTTTTACATTTTTTGGTC